AATGGTCCATGATGTGTGCTTCAAGTACAGTCTATAAATACCTGTGATAAGTATGTATGATCAACCAACCCATGTATTTGAGTATATAAACGCATGCTAACAAAAGTGGAACCTATCAAAATAATTAAAGTAGGATAAAAAAATAAAAACTTATTGAAAGAACATAAAAAGTTACAAGTCCATGAACCAAAAGAGATTTATATATACATGGGACGATCTAGTTTATATAGGATCTGAGAGAGTGAGAACAAATAATCACTTTCTAAACGTATGATCGAGGAGGAAAAGTTTTATATAAGGCCAATAAAAAGTCACAGAATAAGTTTTCCATAAATATTATTCAGATCAACTAATAAAAAAGGTGGTAGGAGGTTGATCTCTAAAAAGCCAGACATCTTTTAGTAAAGGAACAAAATTTCAAAGAAATTAGAAGGTGGAAAGATGTAAAACATTTGAAAAGTAAAAAAAAGAAAAGGAGAAACCTAATATAAACACATAAACTAAAAAAGCAAAAGAAATTAAAAAGAGAAAGTATTTTGCAGAAGAAACAAGGAGATAGAGAAAAAAGGGAAGAAGATGAACTGACCTGATGTTCAAAGAGATGACTTAGAGAGAGAAAGTGGGAAAGAGAGAATGTTTTTGAGGCTAAAGTTTTAGAAGTGTTGGGTGTCACTTTTATGGGCATTTTAGTGGTGTGTTTGTTTTGACTATAATTTTATTCTTTCTTTTTTGTAATTAGAAGGGTTATCATCTTAAACTAGTTGATATTTAGCATAATACACTATACTGGTTTTCCTTCGTGCCAAAAAAAAAAAAAATACATATAATTAGAAATTCAACAATTTTTATTTATAATTTTGTGATCCAAGTTTTTACCACCTGATTAATCCTTCAGTATGAGTGTAGCCGTCGAATATCCTAATTTTTTCTAATGGACCTAAAGCGTTACATCGTTTTGACGGCCAAATGAAAGTTTAAGTGTTTTTGAAAGAAAATCGAACTCAGGTTGAATTATATTATCCAAATAATTAAATCTTGATTGAAGAAAAATAATTTAACCATGTAAATATCTTTTGTAATTTTTCATGTATCAATTAATGTTTGATTAAAAATAATTTTAAATAAGTTAACAACAATGACGATATTTAGTCTAATAGTATTCAAAATTTATATATTTTTGGATTTTTTCCCTTTGTTACAACAAGCTTACAAGATACCAGCGAAGACGGGCCTAATATGGGCCACATGTGAAACGGTCGCTTGTTTATTTTGGGCCTTTTAACTTCTGATTCTCGAAATCGTTGAACTAATTAAAAAATGTTATTTTATCCTTACCGGAAT